TCAATCGGAATCCTGTACTTACGTCCATACACTTTATTGAGCTTCTTCACCTTGTAAACACCTGTACTGTTCTTGTCTTCCGCATTGCATCTAATCCACGAAAGATCAGCAGACTGGATTCCCTGTCTCAGCATCCTTGCTCTCACGTTCTCAGTCAAGAAGAGGTCTTCATAGTGCTTTAACTGATCTTAGCCGTCTGTATCCTGCAGAACCTCCCCTACGAACTTGACAGTCAATCTGTTGACCAGAGTGGTAATTATTTGCATGCCCGCTTACTGTGAGGTTGAAGAGAGTGGAAGAGACCCTAGCACAAGGACTACTCTTTCATCAAGCTTTGGAACTGAGACCATCAAGACATCATCCGGAGATTTACTGTTCGAATTGAATGTGACTCTGTGGACCAAGTGATCTCATTTGACAGTGTTTGACCTTTTCCTCTTGAAGGTGAGACTGCTCGAATCACTGACTGCTTCCATTTTCCTTGGTGGTCACTTTATTTCTGCAGTCCCAAAATGGCTCACAGTGGAGATACTGATCTCCACAGTGATAACAACAATGATGAAAACGATGGAGATACAACAAGGACTTTTCAACCTGATCATAATTCAACTCCAGGACCATCAGGTGAACAGCTTGAGATGACGACCTTGAACAGAGAGTTGAGAGAGGAAGGGGCGAAGATGGCTGAGACATCCTTCAAGGAGGGAATTGATCTGAAGACTTTAAAGAAAAGCATTGAAATCACTCATGGCAAGGATGAGTTGAGGAACCAACTCCCAGACGTGAAGGAGTCTGGCATACACGTTTCGTTCAATGAGGATGAAGGAGTGGTTATGGCAAAACATGTTGGGCAGAGGGAAGAGCTTGTAAGGATCATCAAACGAAAGGAAGAGGTCTACTTGCAAGTTTCATTGAGAGATTCAAACCAATCCTTGGCTCAGAGTGTGAAGTGTTGATCAGTCAGAAGGATAACGAGAATGAGGAACTGCAGAGGTCCATTGAAGAGGATGAGAGGATTGTAGATGATGAAAGCTAAGACTAAGCAACAAGAGGACGAGCGAGGGAGTGTGTAAGAGAGAATCAAGAACAGATGGACGCTCTTGAGCACAAGAGAAAACAACCTAAGGCTGGCTCTCCACTCAGAGAGAGAGGGTGACACTGGGACCCTCCGACTCCCAATGCCTGCTTGATATCATTACCCCAGTATCTTCTGTCTGATCCTAAGACGCTGAACTGAACTCCGTCAGGCTGATTTAAGTAAACTGTGGCTGCCGAAAGTAATGTGCACCTTTAACTTACTTAGGTCTGCATTTGGCCCAAGCTTTTGCTCTTGCCCTGTCAGCGATTCTCTATGCATCTTTTTTATTTCTGGAACGATATAAAATGGTTGTGCTTACATTGATTGCAGCCTCAATTGACTGCACGGTTCGCCTCAGAGAACCTCCTGGTAAGCTTCAGCACATCAGGTTGCTAAGCTTCACATTCTATGACACCTGGTAAAATTTGAAGAAAGACTAAGAGATTTCAATCTCTGATGATTAAGGTAATGCAAGGATTGGAAAATTCCATCAGGTCATTACACACTCAAAGCCATCAGAGAAGAGCTCCAAAAATCACTTCAAAACAAGGTCTGAAACCCCCAAACATCATCAATCGCTTGAGTTCATTCAACATTTATATCATCAACTGCGATCTCTTGGATAAGATAAAAAAAAAAGTTACCAGAAAAAAGCTAGGCTCCCTGTTACCACTTGGAAAGAGCTCAAAGTTTACTTCGTGAAAAGACAGAATGGGTTCTCTCTGACCATATCTAAACACGGTAGTTGCTAGGTTGGTCGGCGGTGGTTCTATTGTAAAATTCACCTTTTTTGCACCTACTTGAATGATGAGCTTGAGCAAAACCGAAGTGGAGGCTTCGAGTTTGGTTTAATTGTGAAGCATGACAGGAGAAGCTGGTCTAAAGTACTGCTCTTACTTGAAGAAGGAGGACCTTATTGATCTAATCCTAGGGAAGAGAGAATCTGAGGTCGAGATGACTCATTTTGTGCTCGTGGACATGACGAAGAAGAGGGGATAAAGAAATCCTCAGTCTTCACTAAGAGAGAGTTACAAGAGAAGCAACACCAAGGAGCAACAGCGGTTTGAATTCAGAGCTCTGAAAAGGGCTATGGACTTCTTTGGAGAGAGTGCGCACAGACTTACCAAGGGAATCAATAACAGTCTAATGATCATTGACGGTATTGAGTACAGATGTGGAAGGGAGTGAAGCTCTTGTCACTCAAGAGTGAGTGACAGGTGCTTGACAGGAACTTGACAGGTATTTGAGCAGGTACTTGACAAGGACTTAAAAGGGACTTGAGAGCTACTTGAGAGGTACTAGACAAGGACTTGAGCAAGTGCCTGCAAATCACGTATCCCGACGTGAATTGGCTGACAATGAACCTGGGGAACCAGTACCTCAACAATAGGTCACTTCAACTGAGAAAGAGACTAAACAAAAAAGACTCTAGAAGAGTTAATACGACTTGCCCAGCACAACAGAAGGGTGAGAGAAGCAAAGAAGCTAAAATCGAGTGACGGTGGGAGTACGGAAGCCCGTGTGAAGCAAAGCTCAAGCGACAGCAGGGCTAAACTCCCACCCTCGTCATTCTTGGTCACTCGGATACTCTCGGATGACAGGAACTTGACAGGTATTTGAGCAGGTACTTGACAAGGACTTAAAAGGGACTTGACAGCTACTTGAGAGGTACTAGACAAGGACTTGAGCAAGTGCCTGCAAATCACGTATCCCGACGTGAATTGGCTGACAATGAACCTGGGGAACCAGTACCTCAACAATAGGTCACTTCAACTGAGAAAGAGACTAAACAAAAAAGACTCTAGAAGAGTTAATACGACTTGCCCAGCACAACAGAAGGGTGAGAGAAGCAAAGAAGCTAAAATCGAGTGACGGTGGGAGTACGGAAGCCCGTGTAAAGCAAAGCTCAAGCGACAGCAGGGCTAAACTCCCACCCTCGTCATTCTTGGTCACTCGGATAATCTCAATCGCAAGTATAGTTCTCTCGCTGACTAGGCTGTATCATAAGAGGAAATAGATGATGGCTCTTCTTAGTAGAGAACAGCTGCAGTCACAGCCACAGCCGACAGAAGCAAATCTCGAGTGTTGGCCAGAGTAACTGGGAAGAAGAGCCCCTCGGATCAGACCGGTGAATTGAGAATTATTATGTTGACGCTATTAAAATGACAGATAACAAGCTCTTGAAGACACTGACTGATGGAAGAAAGGTCTATAAGTACGCATTGACAGCTGCTGATGTTGCAGGCAGGTTCAAAGTGGCTGAAACTCTCACTTCAAAGGATTCTTCTCAATTCTCAGTAGCTATTCAAATAATGTATAAGCAAGGACCACTGAGATGGTCGAAGATTCTTGAGGTTGATCCTGGACGTGAGTTCATGGGTGATGTCACAAGAGAGATGGAAAGGCACGATGTGAGAATAAGAAAAGGGATAGTAAACGTTCTCAGAATTCAAGGAATCTTCAAGAGATTCGACTTCTTTTTGGCTGAACGCCACTTTAGTTACCAGTACAGTCAGGAGATGAACTTCACATCTGGAAAGAGATCCACTGATTGAGTAAAGAGGCTTCCAGAAGTTTTCTCGGCTTTGAATCATAAGGCAACCCGATTAATGGGAAAGAAACCTGTTGATGCAATCAAAGACAAGTCGATTGATGCAAAGAGTTCAACTTCTTATTTAACACCTGTTGGCTTGAAAGAGAAGAGAAGAGACTCGACTCCTCAAAGAATGTTAGATACCTCTATACCCCTGGTGAGCTGAAAGGTGGTCAGAGAAGAGCGACTGATTCAGTATGGTCAATGGAGGTTTACAATATAGAGAGATAAGTATGGAATGAAGGTGAGCTCATCCTTTATTATCTGAAGGATGGCCCGAAGTGTGGATTTGTCAAAGGAGAGCTTAAGCTTGTTCCTCCTGGAACTGAGCTAACTCCAGAAGGGGTTGGCTGATAGAGATGTGTCACTCTCACAGATTGACAGGTCAGATTATCAGATTCAGGGTCAAATGAAATGCCTCAAGAGTGACCAACAACTTTTTTTTGTCAAGCTGTCTCTGGCACTGTTCTCAGGTGTAGTCAATAGCAATTCTGAGACAGTGTTATAGCCAACTTGAGAAAATTTTTGGGTCTGCCTGGAACTGTGTGATAGACAGCTTGACACAACTAGATTGCAGTGGGTTGTAACTCTTTGTCCAAACTGGTCAAAACCAGTCAAAAGTGGTCAAAACTGGTAGAACCCAAAAGTTGTCTCAAGCCATCTTTTAGGCTGTCCCAGAATTATTTCCCTACTACTCATTTCCTGCTCAAAGCAAAAGATCTCAGGAATTGTTGTGTACTACCTAAAGGATACGATAATTTTTTGGACGCAGGGACTTTTACAAAAGATAGAGAGCCAACAGAAAAGGAATCCCCGACCTTAACTCCTCCAGTTGAACCATCTTCTGAGGAAACAACCCAATTTGACCAAGCAGAGCACGAGGAAAAGACGCATTTTCGGTCTTCTCGCTGTCACATGTTTAAAAGTCTGAGTGAGTTTACTTCGTTTTTTGTGTCATTTGATATTATGCTTGGGATGCATTTTGGGGAAGTGTGTTTTGTGTTGGGATATGCATAAATATAATGTAAGAGCTTAAACTTGCTGTGTGCCTCAGAATACGACTCTGTTGTTACTTTTAAAAGCTCCAGCGTATATCGGTGGATTAACAGAGTCTGACTTTCCCACTAAAGAAGTACATAAATTGGAGGAAAGTCTTAGACAGGAGACCAGATCATATATTGAGTGTCTCGAAGAAGTAAGATCAGGTGTCGAGTGTCTCGAAGAAGTGAGATCAGTTGTCAACAAATTAGTAGCACAGGATAATGTAATTAAGGGAAAAGTTGAAGACCTCACTTTGCTGGAGGGAAAATAGATGATTTGAAACTTAATATGGATCAAGATCAAACAGGTGTAAACTGATTTAAAAACTGTACATGATTTTTAGATTAACAGCAATTTTAAGTTGCAGTGTAGCAGAGTCTTATAAGCACTGCTTAGAGACATCAGCAATTTTAGTGAGCGTATACTTACGTAGTAATAGTCCGACGGAATAACTTCCAGTTTTCGCAAAAATGCTCTGTACACATCTTGAAATCCTTTCTTCTTCCATATAATGAATTTCTTCTATAGTCAGAGTGCCACCTTTAAAAATTTGTTATCTTCTATTTCAAAACAATTTGTGCAAGAAGTAAACTGCACCCACTACATTTACGGGCATTGTGACTCTTGTGGGATGTTGTTAATTTTACAACTTCACGGAAAAAAGCAAGAAGCTCATGATTAAAACTATTTCCATGAAACTTGATTTTCTAGATTTTTATTGTTACTGTAAATTGTTCTCTTTTACATGATCCTTTTTTATTTTATTTTACAGTTCCAACTTACTTTTCTCACGGAGTAACCCAACATGCCTCAGGCGACCTCTCGTTAGCACTTCGGTCCATACAGCGTGCTCTTGACATAAGAGTGAAGCTTTTCGGGGAAGAACGCACAGAGAGAGCTCGGAGTTACTTTTCTCTCGGAGTAACCCAACGTGCCTCAGGAGACTTTCTATCAGCACTAAAGTCCTTGCAGCGTGCTCTTGACATAAGAGTTAAGATCTTCGGGGAAGAACACCCCGACACAGCTCAAAGTTATTTTTCTCTCGGAGAAACCCAACATGACTCAGGCGACCTCTCGTCAGCACTTCAGTCCCTCCAGCGTGCTCTTGACATAAGAGTTAAGCTCTTCGGGGAAGAACACCCCGAAACAGCTCAAAGTTATTTTTCTCTCGGAGAAACCCAATATGACTCAGGCGACCTCTCGTCAGCACTTCAGTCCCTCCAGCGTGCTCTTGACATAAGAGTTAGGAACTTCGGGGAAGAACACCCAGACACAGCTGAGAGTTATTTTTCTCTCAGAGTAACCCAACATGACGCAGGCGACCTCTCGTCAGCAGTTCAGTCTAAACAGCGTGCTCTTGACATAAGAGTTAATATCTTCGGGAAAGAACACCCAGACACAGCTGAGAGTTATTTTTCTCTCGGTATAACCCAACATGACTCAGGCGACCTCTCGTCAGCACTTCAGTCCTTCAAGCGTGCTCTTAACATAAGAGTTAAGATCTTCGGGGAAGAACACCCAGACACAGCTCAGAGTTATTTTTCTCTCGGAGCAACCCAACATGCCTCAGGCGACCTCTCATCAGCACTTCAGTCCAAACAGTGTGCTCTTGACATAAGAGTTAAGATCTTCGGGGAAGAACACCCAGACACAGCTGAGAGTTATTATTCTCTCGGAGTAACCCAACATGACTCAGGCGACCTCTCGTCAGCAGTTCAGTCTAAGCAGCGTGCTCTTGCCATAAGAGTTAAGATCTTCGGGAAAGAACACCCAGACACAGCTCAGAGTTATTATTCTCTCGGAGTAACCCAACATAACTCAGGCGACCTCTCGTCAGCACTTCAGTCCATCCAGCGTGCTCTTGACATAAGAGTTAAGATCTTCGGGAAAGAACACCCAGACACAGCTGAGACTTATCTTTCTCTCGGTATAACCCAACATGACTCAGGCGACCTCTCGTCAGCACTTCAGTCCAAACAGTGTGCTCTTGACATAAGAGCTAAGATCTTCGGGGAAGAACACCCAGACACAGCTCAGAGTTATTATTCTCTCGGAGTAAACCAACATGCCTCAGGCGACCTTTCGTCAGCAGTTCAGTCTAAGCAGCGTGCTCTTGACATAAGAGTTAAGATCTTCGGGAAAGAACACCCAGACACAGCTGAGAGTTATTTTTCTCTCGGAGTAACCCAACATGACTCAGGCGACTTCTCGTCAGCACTTCAGTCCATCCAGCGTGCTCTTGACATAAGAGTTAAGATCTTCGGGAAAGAACACCCCGACACAGCTCAGAGTTATTATTCTCTCGGAGTAACCCAACATGACTCAGGCGACCTCTCGTCAGCACTTCAGTCCATCCAGCGTGCTCTTGACATAAGAGTTAAGATCTTCGGGAAAGAACACCCAGACACAGCTGAGACTTATCTTTCTCTCGGTATAACCCAACATGACTCAGGCGACCTCTCGTCAGCACTTCAGTCCAAACAGTGTGCTCTTGACATAAGAGCTAAGATCTTCGGGGAAGAACACCCAGACACAGCTCAGAGTTATTATTCTCTCGGAGTAAACCAACATGCCTCAGGCGACCTTTCGTCAGCAGTTCAGTCTAAGCAGCGTGCTCTTGACATAAGAGTTAAGATCTTCGGGAAAGAACACCCAGACACAGCTGAGAGTTATTTTTCTCTCGGAGTAACCCAACATGACTCAGGCGACCTCTCGTCAGCACTTCAGTCCATCCAGCGTGCTCTTGACATAAGAGTTAAGATCTTCGGGAAAGAACACCCCGACACAGCTCAGAGTTATTATTCTCTTGGAGTAACCCAACATGACTCAGGTGACCTCTCGTCAGCACTTCAGTCCATCCAGCGTGCTCTTGACATAAGAGTTAAGATCTTCGGGGAAGAACACCCAGACACAGCTAAGAGTTATAATTTTCTCGGAGTAACCCAACATGCCTCAGGCGACCTCTCGTCAGCAGTTCAGTCTATGCAGCGTGCTCTTGACATAAGAGCTAAGATCTTCGGGGAAGAACACCCAGACACAGCTGAGAGTTATTTTTCTCTCGGAGTAACCCAACATGACTCAGGCGACCTCTCGTCAGCACTTCAGTCCATCCAGCGTGCTCTTGACATAAGAGTTAAGATCTTCGGGAAAGAACACCCCGACACAGCTAAGAGTTATAATTTTCTCGGAGTAACCCAACATGCCTCAGGCGACCTCTCGTCAGCAGTTCAGTCTATGCAGCGTGCTCTTGACATAAGAGCTAAGATCTTCGGGAAAGAACACCCCGACACAGCTCAGAGTTATTATTTTCTCGGCGTAACCCAACATGACTCAGGCGACCTTTCGTCAGCACTTCAGTCCAAACAGTGTGCTCTTGACATAAGAGCTAAGATCTTCGGGGAAGAACACCCAGACACAGCTGAGAGTTATTATTCTCTCGGAGTAAACCAACATGCCTCAGGCGACCTTTCGTCAGCAGTTCAGTCTAAGCAGCGTGCTCTTGACATAAGAGTTAAGATCTTCGGGAAAGAACACCCCGACACAGCTCAGAGTTATTTTTCTCTCGGAGTAACCCAACATGACTCAGGCGACCTCTCGTCAGCACTTCAGTCCATCCAGCGTGCTCTTGACATAAGAGTTAAGATCTTCGGGGAAGAACACCCAGACACAGCTGAGAGTTATAATTCTCTCGGAGTAACCCAACATGCCTCAGGCGACCCCTCGTCAGCAGTTCAGTCTAAGCAGCGTGCTCTTGACATAAGAGTTAAGATCTTCGGGAAAGAACACCCAGACACAGCTGAGAGTTATTTTTCTCTCGGAGTAACCCAACATGACTCAGGCGACCTCTCGTCAGCACTTCAGTCCCTCCAGCGTGCTCTTGACATAAGAGTTAAGATCTTCGGGGAAGAACACCCCGCCACAGCTCAGAGTTATTATTCTCTCGGAGTAACCCAACATAACTCAGGCGACCTCTCGTCAGCACTTCAGTCCTTCCAGCGTGCTCTTGACATAAGAGTTAAGATCTTCGGGGAAGAACACCCAGACACAGCTGAGAGTTATTTTTCTCTCGGAGTAATACAACATGCCTCAGGGGACCTCTCGTCAGCAGTTCAGTCTAAACAGCGAGCTCTTGACATAAGAGTTAAGATCTCCAGGGAAGAACAGCCAGACACAGCGCAGAGTCACTTTTCTCCTGGAATAACCCAACATGCCTCAGGTGACCCCTCTTCAGCACTTTAGTCCTCTCAGCGTGCACATGACGTAAGAGTTAAACTCTCCGTGGAAGAACATTCAGGAACAGCTCAGAGTTACGTTTCTCTCGGAGTAACCCAATTTTACTCAGGACATTTCAATCTTTTTGGCGTTTCTTGCAAATGATTTTAACTCTTCGTGGAAAAGAACCCAGACAGAAAATGAATCAGAGTAGCACCAAAGTGTCTGGGCGACTCTACCTTTGCTGCGGGTTAATCTTCACGGCGTTCATTTGACGTAAAAAGCTGCTAAGGATAGAATACCAAGTTAATGCTTAAACCTTTTTACTTTCTCGCAGTAAAGCAGTTGATGATTTAATGAGCAACTGCATTAACGTGATTAATGACTTTAAGTCTAATTACTGAAAAGCGCAGCTTTATTTTTGGTTCAAATTCTTCTAGGAAAACCACCAATGTTATCTAGTTATCGAGAGAGCGGGAGTGGGGGGGGGGGGAAGGTGAGGTACTCTGTTAACCTTGTCTTGGGGATACACCGCTGAGTCTTTCAGACTCGATCTACGCCCGTTTTACACATTATAACTATTAATATACCAAAAAAATCTTGCGTGCGTATCAGTCGAAAGCCTGTCAATCATTCCTCAACAGAGAACATAAAAAAGCCATCTTACAATTTATATTGTTTGTCAGAGCGACGAATGGTTAACGGTAGAAACTTCAGCTTAGAAACTCTCTACGGTGGCCAATTAACGTTAAAGTTACTTCCCACCCTCAGAGGCCATAAAAATCGATTTTTCTTTTATTTGACTAAAAAATTTAACCTGAAATTTCCATTAAAAAAAAATTTTTTGAAATTTTCTGAAGCACCTAAGTGATTTAGTAAAACGTACTTTCAAATAAAAGTTAATAAATCAGGAAGGTGTCATAATATCGGACCTGGGTGAATCCCCGGGGGGATTTTCGCGGCAACCGCTCATCTCGGGGCTCGTTTTCATGTCATTTGCGTATTTTGTTTACATCGCGCACTTGTGGAAGCTCTCTGCTTGTGGAAAAATCAAACGCGGAAGATAGTCCTAATTAAAAAAAGAAGAAGAAGGAAAAAATCAGGCCCAGAAAAGACAGAAAGGGTACCCCTCTGTCAAGATAAGAAAAAAGACTTTTATGAAAGCGACTAGTACTGTGGGAGCTCCACGCTGGCGGCTAGATGTCGAATGAAGGAGTCGCCGTCAAACCAAAATTTGCCTAGTTAACATAGTGTTAAAAAAGGAGGTTTCCTTTTATTTATGCAAGTACTAGCCTTGTAACAAATCTTAATTTTGAAAGCTGTCTGGCGATTCGTTGTCATGCTCCTCAGCACATTTTCCGGTTTTTCCATTCTTGCCGCTGGTTTTTTCCTTTGCCTTTGGTAACTTTGCCCATTATTGTGTCGTCCTCCTCAACACTCTACTGAGCGATCGAGGTAAACAAAAGGACGTGTCTGTAATTGTTTACTTTTGCCGAGAAATCTTGAAAATCGTCATTGACGTTAGGAGTTCCCGTTGTCCAACTGGTTTGCGGTCTCAGGAGGCGAGAATATCTCCTGGCGTGGAGCGAGTTTTTTGCGAATCATGTTGAGAAACGGTTCCCGCATACTAAGTTTGTACCTTCGGTTCGTTCACTCTTTCCAAAAGGACTCTCTACCTAAAATTTCATACTTTTGCAGTTAAGATCGGTAAAAAAAAACAGGATTGATGATATACAAATTATAAAGAAACCGTTGTGTAGATTAGAATTGCAATTAAAAAGATAACTAAAGAGAAAGTAACCTTTGAAGTTTTTTACATAACAACAGAAGAAACAGAAAATTCGAGGAAGAAAGGGCGCACCCTAAGTACCGCCCCCAAAAGAATTACTTGCCATTCATACAACTCAACTGATTATAAATTTAGTGCGAAGGATGAAAAGCATAAGTTTTATGCACCTTAATCTCCTCATAGAAAGAGGTGTTGAACGTGCTAGATCAAAAATTAGGAATTGCTTTATTGATCGAGAATTCGACATGAAATCGGTCTAAAAAAAACCGAGCCTGAAAAGAATCGAAAGAATAGGAAGTAGAAATTTCCAGGAATTCTGGTACGAGACTAACTTTTCCAGATCAAATTACTCTCTTACTATTAAGCAGATTATCTAAATGAAAATATATCTTACCGCAAGATAATTGAAATACCTCACGCCGAGTTTTAACTACCGTAGAACTGAACATCCGCTTTCACGTCGAACTCGCGATTGGATAGTATGCCATAATCACTAACAGCTTAAGACAATTTTTTGTGGAGTTAAATAGACTATTTTCTTTCAGAGAGAAAAGATAACAATTACTCTGGTTACAAAGTAAGACCGTCATCGAAATAAGAAATTTTCAACTGCTTACAATATTCATTTTTGCTGAAAGGGTTATGCTAATATGTTATTTCTTTTCATATTCCCAACACCAAAGGTGATGAAGCTCTGACAATGCTTCTAAATTAGATATGTTTTAATTTTATCGTCAAACACCAGGCAACTTCAACAACATTGAAGTTGTGATACATCGTACTCAAGCGGTAAAGAGGAAATGGAAGTGGCGAGTACGGTTCAGCCCTACGAAGGAGAACCGCGTCCATTAAACAAAGATTTCGACGAAGACTGACAAAGACGGTTTCTCGCCTTCGGTGTTCAGGTCAAGATTAGACCAAAAAACTCCTGTAACTGAATTTTTAGTTTTTGCGTCTGTTATGTTTTCTATGGCGAAATCTATGTTAAGAATGTTACGAAGTTTTTTGTTGCCATAACATTTTATGGTTCCCCTTAGTCAGTGCTCCAGAGTTTCGTTGCTGTAGAGTAATTTCCTTGGCAAATCGAAAGCTAACTTTTGACGAAATAATCAGCTGTATCACGAGGCACAAGGAGAAGTCATGGGGCAGTTTCATTGCAAGCTGCTGCTTTCTTCAGAGTTTGCAAAGGCGGAGGCTATCATTGTCGAGCCGGTCAAACGGAAAACGAGTGAGTTTATAATCATCTGATTCAAGTTAATAAGGATTTTAATAGAAAAAAAAGTTTTTAGCTTCAGAGCAGCATTGCCATATTACCCATTTCGCTCAATGACACTAAATATAGTTGACATCAGTATTGCATTGCAAATGAATATTTCGTATCCAAAGTCTTTCACACAGCCTCGGATTCGCTGCCATCTAATTTACACCCTTAGGACAAGTACGTGTTCTAAAGGACTAATTGCGCAACACACGTCCTCTATTATCAGGCTCTAGGAGTTTCGTGTTTCATTTCGCGTCACTCTTTACTTCGAGCGCACACCAGAGATCCTGTACTGTTTCGATTTTCTTCCCATTGGGTCGTCAAAGTAGGTGTTTAGGTTGTAAAGAGTCAAAGTCATGAATTCTCATGAATTCGGTCGTCCTGGAGGTACTGTGCCGGTCACAGTGATAATAAACAGTCCAAACTCGCGGAGGTTGACGAGCCAACGAATGCTGAGAGTACTCCTCTCACCAACGAGATTGGTGCTGGTTGTGAATATATGGAAGTCATACACTTGAACTGCGGTTAAAGACGTGAATATGAAAGCGATCTTCGCAGTAATGAAGTGCAGTGAGCCGGTATCGCAGAGGTCATGGGTTCAAATCTCGTACAGGCCTGAATTTTATTCAGGCCTTCTTTTCATTACTACTTAAGTAGTGTTCATTACTGCGAAGGTCGCTTTCATATTCACGAGAATGGCGCTGCCGGTTCTTCCCAACCATAATTACAATCTTTGGCCGAATCGGTGAGGCTTTTGTCCTCTGAGATGAAGACTCTTCGACAGGAAATCAACGAGCTGCGGACGTTCGTTCGTGCTTTCGCTTCCGAGCAACCAACTCCTGTCGTACCGCCTAGTATGTCTTCCCGAGCTGCGCGCTATGACGGATTTGATCAAAACAGTGGATCTGCGTGTGGATCAACTCTGTGAAGCAACAAACGCTCTCTCACCAATGAGACTTTTGTTGTCGACCTTTTTCGGAACATCGGAACAAAGTGTCTCCGTTACTTTAATTCATCCCGGACCATGCTTTTGGATCAGTTGAGATGTGATTTTCAACGGATTTAGCTGCTATCAGCTCTTCTAGGCATCGTGCGTTTCCCAAATCCACAACAAAGGGTGCTCTCGAGGCATTCCAGTGCGAAAACAAATGAGATGACTGATAAATTTATAGATTTCAGCTCCCTTTATTTCTAAAAGGGATACTTTAAACTGCGCGTTTCCTTGTAGGGAATTTGGCAAATTTTCATATATCAAAGTACATCGCCGAAGATGCGAATCCCCTTCCTAAGACTTGGAATGCGAAGCCTTCCAATGTGAAAGACCGACCAGCGGTGAAATCTCAAGCGCAGTGTCACCAATATCATGGCTTGTTAACCCTTTACACCCAAACATCAGCATTCATATTCTCCATACTGTTCTCTGTACATTTACTAAGATGCTGACAAGGAGAATTTGTCTAACAATCAAGAGATTTTTTAGTTGGTGATCATTTCCTTTATTCTCATGACCTTAATGTGTGATTGAGTAGTGATATTGTAA